TCCTTCGAGTCCGTTTTCTCTCGGCGGGAATTTTACGGCAGCGCCGTTCGCAGCATTACAATTTTCAAATGCCTCGCGGCGATTAAAGCCCTCGAGTGAGAGACGCCCCGTTAGAGTTACAGGTGACGACATTTTCTTCGAATTGACGCGGCCGAGAGCGAGCGACGACGGTTCGAGTATCGGCATTAAAGTTCTCGTATTCGCGATAATCCCCGAGAAGACTCGAGGACCCCGACGTGAGGACGTTGACAAGGACACAACGGTTCATCTCATAGCGCGGTCCTTTCTTTCCTGCCGCGCTAATCCGCGCGACGATCGCACGAAGCCGATCGAATCTTTAAGGCCGTCTCTTATGCAAGTCGCGCGCGCGCACGTGTTACCGCGATAGTCGACTTTACACCTTGACCCGCTTCCAGGCGGACTTAAACCAGACACCCGGTATATACGTGCGTCACGAGCTTAAGCCCAACGAGCGTTTTGCACTTTCACGAGAACGCCGTTTCGCAACGGTGACATTTCCGTTGGGCCAAACAAATACCAATTAAACGTTTTGCTCGCGGGACACGCGGCGGCTGTCGCAAAACCGCCGGCGGTCCCAATGCCGTCGCGATGAAATTTATAGCGGCGACTTAGTCTTCGAGACATTCGTAAATTTCCGAGATTACTCGCCGGGAGGTGTTTAATCGCGGCGCGCAAAATATGCGTGCGAGCGCGGCGGAGACGATTCATTCCCGGCCCGGAAGATTAACGTAAAATTACTGTCAGCTCGCGTTGTCGCGACTCCACGTTTAACGCGTCTCGCGAACGGCAGCGACACGGATGAAACGGATTACTCACGGCGGGTTTTTAAAATCGTGCGAAATTGCCGACGATCATCGTATACGAGTACGATCGGTCAATATTACCCGAGTCGAAATTTTGGTGCTATTTCGACACTTTTAAGGATAATTTACACCTACTTAGCTCAGCAATAACCTACATTAATGACGTTATATTTTTGTACTCCTCTCTTGAATCTTTAATTCCAAAAATTTACTTTAGTTCCTTAAAAGGACCTAACTTTAATGCTAAATTGGCAAAAGTAGAAATTTTCGACGCTATCAGTTTTAAAGTAGAGGTAAATTTTGTACTTGCAGTTCGACCTCTTTTACTGTCTCAGGTCCTACCGTACAATCGAATTAAAGGTTCAACATAGGGCGAAAATTTCGACACGGGTACAGGATGAAAAATGTCAGGGAGAGAAAAGTCGCGAAAGAAACCACACAAATTAGACGTTGTGCCAACCGCGGGGTCGTTTATCGCGCCCGTCTCGCCTCGCTCGTCTTTCTCTCGTCGAGAAAGAGAGAGAGAGAGAGAGAAAAAAGAAAAAAAGAACGATCGGTCCCATATGACGTCCGTCGATCGGGCCGTTCAACAGGCGAGAGACCACTCTTCTCGGCTCTTAATTGCCGCGCGCAATTACGATATTTGTCGCGCGTCTGCCTACGCAACTCGGCGCGATCTCGGCTCGGAGCACCGGGTCTCGTATGTCTCTCCCCGGCGGTGAAATGGAAACAGGGCCGTAGGTGTCTGGTTTCCACGTCGGCGACACAAACCTCATTAATCTCCCGTCCCACCATTTGCAAGCCGCGCCGCCGTCGCCCTGCCGCCGCCGTCCGGACGACGAATGCAACCTCGCGCCGCGGCCCCGGCCCCCCCCCCCCGGCCCCCTCGACCCCTCAGCCCCGGGGGCCGCTCGTCGTCGTCCTCCTCGTTGTCGTCGTCGTTGTCGCCCTCGTGTCGCACGCACGCCCGCCCTCCGCCCCTCGCCGCGCGGCGCAAAAGGCGCGATCTCGCGCGACAAAAACCTGCGTCTCGTTTCGTTTCGTCTCTCTTCTCCAGCCCTCCCCCCCCCCCCCTCCCCCGTCCGCCGCTCTGTCGGTCCCGTCCCGTCGTGTCGCGTGTCGTCTCGGCTCGTGCCGGCGCGACGCGATAGAAATAGTTACCGACATCCGTAAAACGATTTAAGTGCTATTCTCATCGCCTTCCTCTTCTCTTCCTCGATCCGACGTTCCTTCCGTTGCTGCAATCGCATCTGCGTCGCGGCGGCGGCGGCGGCGGCGGCGGCGGCGACGACGACGACGACGACGACGACGACGACGACGACGACATTCGTCCACCGCGATAGTTTTATTCGCGAACGCGACTCGAATATCACGAGAGTCACCTCTCTCTCTCTCTCTCTCTTCTACTTGTCATCTCTTGTCTGTCCCGGACACGCTATACCGTTACACGCATATCTACGCGCTATCCTTCCAGCGGCTTTTCCACTGTTATTCCCGTGCCTTACAATGCCGTTGTTCCCGGCGAAATAAGTACTTTCTGTAACGTTTGAATGAATACGGCAAATGCAGTTGCAGATAAGCGGGGGAATTTAGCACCCTAGAGAACTTTAGTACTCCAGCGTCGCATAAAATATTAAAACGGCGTAAAAAAAAAAAGATACGTAGAAACAATTAATATCCGCGGCGCAGGGAAAACGGACTGACAGAGGGAATTTATTAGGCGTAAATATTAATAAGCGTTTGAATGAATATGCAGTAATACGCATATTGGAGATAACGGATATAAATATAACTTAAGATAATGCGGCGAGCGCGTGTGGTAACCGTACCTTTACGGCTCGAGGGCGCGCGATAAATCGTTGTTCTGCTAATTTCTGTCATTTTCCGCCGGCGATCGGCGAGGAAAATCACCGTTCTGGATTTTAACGATCGCCTTCCGCGCTTTCTTCGCGGGGCCCTTGTTTTATCGGAACGCGATAGGATAATTACCTCCCGATGATTGGAAAATTATTCATTCGCGGTATACGACGCTCGGTCGTGAGCTACGAGCCGACTACTCTTGGCGCCAGGACGCGGTCGTTATTACTCTCCAGCGGTAACGGCCAATAACGAGAGCGCGTCGTGGCGCCGAGCGTCGGCGTTATCCCGCGGGGGGGGGGGGCACCGGGGCGTTAGGGAACGATTCTCAATACGATACGATACGATACGATACGCACGGCGGCGATTCGTTACTCGCTCGTCGGCAAGCGAGATCGTAATCTGAGGGGCCGCGCGATTTTAACTAATCTGCGATGGTTGACGAGAGCGAATCGGAAATCAGTTATCCCGCTAATTGCACGACGGGATTTACGCCCGTCGATAAAGGGGCCGCGCGATAACGAGCGGAACGCACGCGGCCCGCTTGTCGCGGCGCATTTTATTACGTCGGCGCCGTAAACGGTCGTCGGCATAATATCTGTACCGGCTCCCCCCTCCTGCCCGCGCGCGTTACTTTTTCAGCGCCACGTGGTACCGTTTTCACGGATGGCTCCCCCGAATTTGCATTTATCGCATGTCACGGAAGTCACGCGTCGTTAATGCGTACGCACTTGTCGTGCCTTTTCTCCTTCTCTCTCTCTCTTTCTCTCTCGCACGCCTCGCGCCGCGCCGGTGCTCCCACGGCGCACTCGCGATAAGGGCCCGGTATATTTATTATCGGCGGAGGACCCGTCGAGGCGAATCGTCGGCCGAAAGGGCGAAGCGTCGACATAAATCTAGCGGCACGCGAGAAAAAAGGAAGGAGAGAAAGCGGAAGAGAAAGGGAGCGGGTAGGAAGAGGAGGATACCCGCTCTTTCTTCTTGAGGAGGAGAGGCCACCCACCTACCTCTCAACGAACACGCGAGGTCATTTATTTTTCGCGGTCACTCCCGCCCTCCTCCCGCGGCCCCTTACGTCACCTTTTGTACACCGGCCCGGATGAACCGACGGCGCTGCGCAAGGGGGAGAAGGTTAATCCCGCCATAACAAATAAATTACCAGACCGAGAATAAATCGAGACGGGACGTTATCGCGGGCTGCATATGTATCGTTTTGAAAATTGCAGCGCCCGGAGTTTTCCGGTCACGACGCCGGCGATGACGTGACTTGGACCGCGCTCGTTAATTACGGTTGCCGCTTCATCCCCCCATTTCTTATGCAGATGCGCGCGTAAGATTCGGTCGAGCGGACCCGCGCGATTAGCGCGGCTCATCTCTAATGGGATCGTGAATCGCTCGAATCGGTAGAACCGATCATCAAACGTCAATAGATGCCGTTCGTTACAACTTCGCTGCACGACGTCGGACTCGATTACACTGGTCAACAAAATTTTGTAACGAGAAAACTGCTAATTTTCATATCTCCATCTGCTCTTGTCGCGAAATCGTTTTTTCTTTTGTGACAGTTACAAGTGGAATCCAAGTATGCCTGAGTCGAAATTTTGGTACTATTTTGACACTTTTAAGGCCAATTTACACCTACTTAGCTGATACACACCTACATAGACCAGCAATAACCTACTTTGATGACATACTTTTTACTCCTCCATTGAATCTTTAATTCTAAAAATTTACTTTAACTCCTACTTAAAAGAACCTACTTTAATGCTAAATAGGTAAAAGTAGAAATTTCCGACACTGTTGGTTTTAAAGTAAGAATAAAGTTTGTACTTGTAGTACAACCTCTTTTACTGCCTTAGGTCCTACCATACAACAGAATTAAAGGTTCAACATAGGGCCAAAATTTCGACTCGGGCATGCTTGCGGATTATTGTTGGACATTAAGAAGGGACGTTCCTGACGCGAAATGTAAAAGAAATTCCTAATTATAATAACTTTCGTATTACAAATACCTGTATTCAATTTATTTTTTACATTACATTTTCGAAAACTAAAAATATAGTGTTACTATAAAACTGTTTGTATCTGAATTTATTTTAAATCCTTCCCTTCTTCAATAACCTTGTCTCTGATAGAATCAGGCATGTGTTTTCGTGTTACAAAAAAAAGTCAGATTTTGTCGGCCAGTGTCACCGATTTTGGCGGAGCAGCTTAAACGTAGATCTCATTTAAAGAAATGAAATGCGAAAAAAAACCGGGTCGGCAGTTCCAGCTAAATTAGTTTATCTTTACAATCGTCGATCGCCATACGAGCTCGCGTTTTCATTCGCGCGGGTAAAAATTGTACGTGTCGCAATAAGATCGAGATTTAGCTGCATTCAAAGTCCGATGTAGCTTGTTAATAATAAGCTGGTAGCCATAAGTAACGAGCCGACTCCTCGCGCCTCTCGGGGGATTTAAGTTTCATTTATTATCACTGGGAGAAGTGAGAAATAAACCAAAGCCTCCGCCATTATTCTCAGTACCCAGCTATCTCTTGCTAACGTCATCACCGAATTAAGCTCTGATTTCAGGAGGTGTCGTGGCGCCAGAGAGCAGATACAGCGGTCAAAGGCAGATAAGTGTTAGTGCCAGGACGTGCTAGGCAGAGCTAAGCGCCGCCGATGTACCGGGTCCGCGAGACTAATAAATTAAGTGTTTGAGTGGCGTCCTAATGATGAAATCACGAGAAACATAACAACATCCTCCTAAGGCGGGGGCCCCGCCTTACCGACCCGTAAGTGACAACGATTTGCCTCGTGACTCGTTTCTTCGCGCCCAGCGCGCGTTCTGCGGAGCGCGTGATTGCGGCTCGTCTCGTCGAATAAATTGTGACAAATGAACGCCGGAATTTTCTAGCGAATACCGAATCGTCCATGGACAACGGGTGGGTTTCAACGACGAGTCCCGGCACGCGATCCACCCGTGACGTATTTCATCCGCGACCTTTTTCTACTCGATCGGTCTACGAGCGGAGGTATTAGCGCACGAAATCCTCATTTGCGCGAGAGATCACGATAGACGCTGTACTCCACGCGCTATCGTCCACAGCTATGCGTAAATGACAATAACGCGTGCCATGTAAACCATGGTGTAAAGATGCAAGGTGAAGCAATCTGGTGGACACGCAGTGTCAATCGGAAGTGGCCCAAACTACCGAACTGACCAATCAAAAATTTGCCCCAACCTTCAAACTGCAAATCGATTGAATACAAGTAGAGCCAATGAACAATTTGGCCCAAAAATTGGTCACATGCGCAACGTTTCACCTTGTATCTTTACACCACGATGCAAACTACTTTAATGTGTAATAAATTCAGACAATGCACACTCGTCTTGTTTAATGGCGCTATGCTTTCTCCGTCGCCCATCTCCCACCCCATTTTTACAACAAACCTCCTATTCGAGAAAACAAACATCTATTTATAATTATTCCCTGTGCGCGAAGGCGTCGCCGTGCACTGCAATATAAATCATTCTCCAGAGAGTATGGAAAGAAGCCACTCGATAGTCGAATAAATTTGCGCTTAACAGAGCCGGAACGATCGCGGGGCGATTCATCTTGCGTCACGATCTCCGGCCGATTGTCTGCGAGCATCCTTGCATTCGAAAGTTCATCGATCGCGGTATTCACTAGCTGCGCGATACAATGTGCTGTTGCGGCACGGGGAAGCGCTCGCGTTTCAGCTGAAATTAGCGAGGCGTGCCGTGGGACGTCTTTCTGATCTTTGATATCCCGGCTGGTTCTCTCCGTTCGGCGATAGATCCGCGCGCTCTCGCATGAACGGGCCCGTCGCGCGAAAGTTACTACGACTGGAGGGAAACCGGCATTTCAATATCTGTACGGCCGAGGGGGTTTATCCAACAGGAACGGCACGTCTCGCATTACGTACTTCGCCGTAGCGAGCCGTGCCCAACTCCTTTTCGTTCCCCGCGGCCAAATCTAAATTCCGTAACGATAATTTGCATTCGCACAATGTCTGTGATATATTTTCACGCACGGTACGTAGGAATGAGCGAGTTTGTTCGTGGTAAATACATTAATTAACGCGCGTTCAAACGAGTGTTAAAAGTTACAGATTGATCAAATAATAGGCGCAAAGTAGGGGGCGATAAGAGCCACACGCCAGATATTAGGTGCGGATGTAACAAAATCTATATTATTTATTTGAAATTAGCAAGTCTAACGTTTCAACCAACTCACGTGGGCCTTCAATCTTCTCGTCTCAATGACGATCATATGTGAAAAAACCTATAGTATCAATATATTGTTACGTGCTACATGATCGTCATTGAGAAGGACCACGTGAGTTGGTCGAAACGTTTGACTTGTTAATTTCAAATAAATAATATAGAACTTGTTATATCCGCACCTAATATCTAGCGCTTGGCTCTTATCGCCCCTTACTGTGCGCCTGTTATTCGATGTTTTATATATAGAGCCTTAACAATTATTTCAAGAAGTGTGTAGAGAGGTCCAGGTTCAAACCCTGGCCGACGTAATATTTTTCGCAATAAATTTTCTGTACTTAAAACACATCGCCAGTTATGGTCGATTAGAAGCTTAATCATTGTTAAATATTATTGTTAAAGATTAATTATGATTAACGTCTAACGACAATCGCGACAACGTTGCTCCTGAAAATCGTCACAAAATAGGAGGATTTTTCAGCAAATCGATAAGAGAACGATCCACTTGCCGATTCGCTGCTTGATCAATTTCGGCAACCTGCTAACGATTCGTTTCAATTATTTCGAGTTTGAGGGCTGATTCTTCAGATATGTGGAGCAAACCATCGGGTTCACCGAGTTTCGAAAAATGTTACAATATCGAATACTTCGTATTCGTTATTGTTTTTTTTTTTATCGAAACGTTGCTTGATAACCAATTTTCGCCAAAGGCGGTGCTTTCGCGGGCATTCGATTTGCTAACAAAGTGCGGTTTAATCACTCAACAATGTAGTTATTCACCCTTTCGGAATGCTCGTAAAAATATGCACGTCTATAAACCACCAATTCCACGTCGACGCACAGATCGAGCGCGATGGCTGTTGCCGCCGGTGCTGCAACCGGAATGCATTCGCGCTAATTGAAGAGCAACGCTTACGCCAGTGGGACGCATACGCTTCGCTATAAATAGCCGTGTTTTGCCACGAGTTTTGCACGTAATGCGTGCAGGCACGCGTGTCGCGATTGACCGTACCGCGCGGACACGTACGTGAAAGCGTAAATACACGTTGCGCGGATGCAACGCTAAAGGAGCGGTGGCACGATGACGTCAGTGGTGGCGGATTGACGTCGTGCAATTGGAACTCGTCGATGCTAATGGGCCTGGTCAAAGGCAAGGCGGCGATAGAAGCGGGTTCCTTCGTCGGACCAGGCCGTGGAAATATTCGCGCGTCTACGATAGTTGCTCCTATGAAAAGTGTGAATCTTTCTCCATCAGGATTGTCATAATTCTCAAGTAGTCCTGATGTCTGAGAGAGAGATTCAAGTATCGCGTATAATCATTTTCCCGACGTACAGTCTTATTCATGTCATATTCTGTCTCTCGTGGACCTAAGCTCTGTTCCTTTAATTTATTACACCGAAACATTTGATACAATATCACTTGAAAAGGACCGCGAGCCATGGTCGAAGCGTTGTGAGTTTTGAACATAAAAATTGCCAGACATGGTCAAGTTATCATTGAAGTTTTTTCTTATTCAGTAACGCCTGGACTTGAGTTTTACCAGAATTCACATTTTCATAATCTTCATTCCCATCTATACATCGATGGATTTCAGGCTGTAGCTCACACAGTTTCTAATAAAGTATGTGGTAGTACATACACACAAACCTAGTGATTCGTACAGATGAGAAAAATGAAAATAAAATTGCAGGTCCAGGCATCGATGAATAAGACTGTACAGTGATGGACAGAATGGTTGCAACATGTTTTTTTTAAAATAAGTTTAGAAATCAGGTTTATGTTCTGAAACATTTGCACTGGTGAAAATTTTAGATCGGAAACGCTCGAAATGGTTTCGGAATGGCCGCCGAGTAAAATCTTCCTCGGAGAAGAAGATTTTGGGACGCAACCCTGAATCTAACTGCACGTGTTCCTAAACTCATTAAAATGTATACATGTCGCAACCATTCTGTCCATCGCTGTACACCGACGCGACGGTAGTTTATCGCGAAACGTTCCGCGTCAAAAGGACGATTTGTTACTCGGTTTTAGATACTGATTGTCTTGGCAGCGCATTACCGGACTTTTGTCTCTCTTGGACGGCCATTTGTTACGACGGGCACAATAGCGAGTACACCGGCCGTTTCATTACTTAGGTCCACGTCGTGATTTAGAGGATCGGAGCCGAAATCGCGGTCGGGCGCGGAAACGCGGTACGATTAATTTCGACAGGTGGTGGGTACCTAAATACCGCATCGGGGCGATTTTCGATAGAGCCGCCGACAAAGAGTCGAGTTAATCGTCGGCGAGCGCGCCGCGGGAGTACGGTCGATTGGTTTTCCAACGGGCAACGAGTAAATATTTTAAAAAGTGGGTTGTGCACGGTAATTTGCGGCGCGCACGTATACGCGCGCATTTTTCCGCCGGTGTTCAACCGTGTACGTGTGCGCGCCGCGCACTCGTGTTTCGTCCACGTGGAGGGTGGTAGATCGATTGTCCTTGCCTCTCAAGGCTGCTGTACCCGGGGGGGTTGGGTCGGAATAGAATTTATAGCATACGCCGCTGGCATATTAATAGAACCGACAACAACACGGCGACACATCCAGCGGCGGGGCCGCTGCCAATCCAATTTACACGACGCGACGTGCCGGTACGCGAATGACGAAAATAAGAGTCGCATGACGACGATGCGCCCCGTCGTTGATCGTTGATCGGAAACGCGGCTCGTACCGTCGGTTTCCGCGACTCCGCGTTTACATCGATCTAATCCCGGTCCGCGAGGAACGAGAAGGGGGCGAGAGGGGGGGGGGTGCAAACTGCATCTATCCGCGACGTATCGCACGTGCGTGTCGAACACGCGTGAGGAATTTGTTCGTTATCAACGACGCGCGCGCGTGTAATGGTTCGTATACGGCGCGGTGCATGTCCCACGTGCGTGTGGGCTCGGCCGCCGAGGCCAGTCGTCGACGTGTAATTAAAACCTTAATCGTGCACCAAGAGCCTCGACAGTCACACGCGGCGGCACATCCTCGTGACCATCGACTAGAAAACGGTATGACCGATGACGTCACGCGTGGCACACACACACACACACACACACAGACACACACAGACTCACACACACACGCACACACACACCGGGGGGCTGCGTTTCCCATGGGAAGCCACGGACACGACGGTCCGCGATTCAACGCGATCTCGTCCGCCCGTCTCTCTCCGTGGTCGGAGGCCGCGCGGTACCCGCGGGCATCTTCTTCCGGCGCGCTTCTGAGCGCGAGGGAGTCGAAATGAGATATCGTCCGGCGTTGTCGACGAGGAAATATTAGACAACGGGCCCGGCCGAGCTCGGGTTGATACTGTACCAGGATTTTCTTTACAGTATGGGCCTGCTCGCTGGATGGAGCAGGCGTAAATATCTCAAGCGTCCTCTCGCGAGAGGTGACAAGCTGGATCAGTACTTAGGGGGACTCTATAATGGGACTAACTTGAGGGGGGGCGGGGGGGGGGGGACGGGGAAATGGGGCGCTAACATGGTGTATCGTACTGTGCTATGAATTTTCGTACAGTAATGCAGCGCGCGCGCGCGCGCGCGCGCGATATGTGCCGCGCGACGCGCGCAAGAGAGACTTGGCTACGTACTATCGCGCGCCCGTGTGTATTTGTACGTGCTAGTCTCGTCTCGCTACTACGACGTATACATCACGCCGGGGTCTGTGACACATACAAGAGAGTGCGGGAGGAGATTACTATGCGGGGACTATAAATCGCGCTCTCGATGCGACGTGCTCGCGCTCGTGAGCGCGCTTAAAATGCATTTCATACATCCGTCGGCGCGCGTAACTCGCCGATGGATCCCCCCCGCGCGTCAACTCGCTTTGGAAATTACGAGTTAATTCGGGGCGCGCGCGTCCACGGTGAAAACGCCCACGGTTAAAAAGTCGGATAACTGTTTATAATCGGGTTAAATATCGCTCGTCCGTTTTGCGCCCGATGCAGCTTCCAATTAAAAAAATGGAATCGATAATTCGGTATACTTAGGGGAAAAATAATAATAAAAAAAGCGCGACCGATAGAATATACGCGCGTACGACGCTCGCGAGGCCACATGGCCGTTTCTCGCGTCTCCGACGTGGCTGATCGTATAGTCGATAATTAGTAGCGCGGTCCGCCAAATGCAATTACTCTGCGGCGGTGAAATTGGCGGGAAATCGCGTTTAATAGTCGCGCGGAAATAAAGAAAACCCTACCTCCGCCCGGCGGAGAATCATTTTCGTGCATTATGGCGTACCATGACGCATTATGATGCATTATTATGCATCATGACGCATTAGGATGCGCTATTGCGCGTCGGTAGCGCGCTTTGTACGGTGCGGCGATGTCGGCCGGTAATGCCATAAGTCTTTCATAAATGATATACGGGGTGCCGCGAAAGTATCGGCTTTGTCGCGACTCTGTCGTAAGAATTCGACGGCGCTCGGTACGCTCTAATACCTAAATAATTAATCCTGAGGCTTAGCCGGCCGTTCGTACCGGGGACACAATTTCACTACGGTTTGATCGATAAAACCAACGTTGGGAAATTACATCTTTCAGTCACGAGAAGTCATCGTTAAATCGGCCACGCACGTGCGTTCCTTGGCGCGTGTTTCGATAATCCCTTGTCGATTTAACATGGAACTGTCGACTTCCGTCAGACTAGTTTCCAGCGGATGCTACGTACAGTTAGATCGAAATAATTTTGCGAGCGATACTTGCCAATCGAGTGATAAAGTAGTATTTAAAAAAACAATGCCTTGCGGCGATACGGTTAAAGCGAGAGATTCGGTGCCTGAGTGCCATGTGACGCGGCGAAATCCAAGATAAAATCATCTTTGTTTGACTACGACAACGTACTTTCGGCGCATGAAGGCCGTTGACGATTACGCAAATTACGCCTGATAATCTCGCCAAGTTAAACGCGAGGTGACGAAAGCCAAACGTATACGTTGGTACGTGAATGTATACTCAATTTCAGCAATACCGCGAGATGATGACAGCGTCGGGTGCGCGCGCCCGCGAAGGCGCGAGTACGCGGCGAGACTGTCGTCGCAGAGAATGAATGAGATAGAGAGAGAGAGAGAGCGAGGGAAAGAGAGAAAGAGAGGGAGCAGCATCCTTTCTTCACTCCGACGCAGCGCATCGTAGCGCGACGCTTACCCATGCATACATACAGGAAAAGGAAAACAAGATCGAGCATACAAGGTGACTCGGAAAGAAGGGAAGTCGGTGCGCCCACCCTCCGGAAACGGCGTCTAAAGCCTGATGTTAGTGCAGGCTTGCGTGCCGTCTCGAGCGGCATGTACCGGCTGCATCAAACTGCACATTATTCCTCGCCACTGTGTTACGCGGCGTTGCGGCGGAAAATCTCCCTAGATGCGCTGCTGATGCGGCAAGAAATTATTTTCTTTTCCTACCATCGACCTTGTACTACCGCGCGGCAATTTGAATGAATAACGCGGTCTCTCCGAGATCCGAATTGATTATCGGGACGTACAGCGTTATTGAATTTCAAGCATTAGGCCGTCGCGCTCTCGAGAGGCACCGCGCGCGCAACGTCGCGGATTTAAATGGCCAGCGATAGCGTGGCATCGGGCGTTATTCGTAAGCAATTAATACACTTCTCGTAACGTACTCGAAACAGCGGTATGTACACCGGCGAGAAAGAGCCGCGGTGTCACTCTCCCGTGTCCGCAACTCAAATTTTGACACCTTTATTTACTGAAACTGCCCAAAAATGCATTCGCGACGCGGCGGTGCACCATTTCTGCGGCCGTGTCAACGCACCATGAGTGCATCGAGTTTCGCATATACGGCACTATTAATTAATGAATCTGCCAGGCAAGGAGCAACAAGAAACGAGAAAGCTCGTTTCCTCCCCGGATATCCATTTACTTCTGTTTTTCTCCTCCCCCCCCCCCCACCCCCTCCCTCTTTCTCCGTTTCTCGCTATCCGCCTCTTTTATTTATACAATATGATTAACCTGTCAAAACTCGTAACGACCGCGGTATCGGTGATAACATCGAGAATTAAGTATCTTACGCTAATTACGACCAATTAGTAACCGATTCGCGGGATCTCCTCGGTTGCCGCGAAAGTAATATCCGCTTAACGGACGCTTCTTTTAATTAATCAACCAATTACCGGCTGACAATTTTAATCAAGAGGCGCGCTGTTAATTGATAGGGCACTTCCCGTACTCGTGGTATATTTCGGAGCGGAACGTGGGAAAGGGGGAAAGGGATCGTAGAGCCCTCGTCGTCTGAGCGTCCCCAAATTGTTACGAATCGCGTGCTCGTTGGGCAATTAGTTAATAATTCATCGCTCTAACGGGACCGCGTTCCCCGTCTACGCGTCTACGCGCGTTGTCTAAAAATCGTCACGGCAGTCTGGTCACTGTGTCACGTCACGGGGCCCTACGCGCGCAGCCCGTCACGGTCCCGGCATCGCGCGGGTCGTTATATTAATTTAGGGCTAGCGCTCATTAAAACCTAACGATAGCGCTCGTTATGCCCATCCGATAACGGCGCGGCGGCGGCGCACCGATTATTATTCGTCGATTATATCGCGCAGCGTTTTGTTTCGCCTTCGTTACCGAACCCCGAAGAAGCGGGACGATTACAGGAGGAATTCATCGTCTTGCCCCTTCTCTGCCTCTCCTTCTTTCCCCCCCGTTCTATTTCGTTTTTTTTGACGATGGCTTTTTAATGCTCAGCATGCGTGGCTCTAATTACCGCTGTGTGAAATCGTACCCGAACACGACGTCGGCTTTTTCTCTCCCTCGGCCTCCGGCGCCGCAAATGATCAAGTCCGATTGCGAGCTCTTTTTAGATTCAACTGATTCGCGAGTTATCTATTGTGAGGAAGAACAGGCGCTCCGTTTTCGCGATAGGGCTACTCGCTGTTCAGAATTAGTGCTCGCGCACGGATATACCTAGGCGAGGCGTACAATGGGATTTACGTTAAGCACGAACTTGGTTAATTTTTGCAAGCTGAAAGATAATCGCGACGGCAGCCAGCGCGGGATCCTCGATTTAGTAATCACGAGCTACGACAGTAATTTCGAATCCTTGATTTTCAGAGGCAGTCGCTACGCGGAGGTGTTCATCGCGCACCGGCGCCGCTACGTCCTTCGCTCCTTCCGTCTCGGCTCCATCCTGCATTCTGCCAGGATTAAGGCCGACGGCATTCCCGGGTTTAATAAGTGTCGCCTGAATGACGTGAATTAGTCCAATATGTCTGAGGTCCCCGAGGTAGCAACAATTCAGGGCCGCTGCATCGTGTAATTAAAATTACTCCGCGCGTCATACTTTACGCTTGGGAGACGCAGACGGGCATACGAAAGGGGTAGAAAATGGGGATGTCGCTGCCGCAGTAATTCAAGGACCGGCGGGAGCTCCGATACGCCGTATTATTCAAAATCGAACGGGCGATGTTATCGAAAAGTGCTTTTATACGAGCCAAACGGAAATAAATGGCGCAAGTATCCCGTGCAAGTGCCCAGCAGAGAGATTTTATGAATCTAATTTGATTCGCGTATTTAAAACCCGAGTGTTATCATTAGCATAAGCGTTGGCTGCTACGGGATGGAATAGGTTTTGAGATGCCTCGGATGTGGCGGGAAAAAGAATACGTAGATTAATGATCAATTAGCTCTAAGTGACAATACTGCGGTCTCAAACGCGATTAGTATTTTTAGCCAATTAGCGGACCCGGTAAAGCGAAAATAAGCGGATATACCTCGCGGATATTCTCTAACAAGTAGGAGAGACTCGAGCGGCACTCAGTCTCTCGGAGTGGGCCCTTCTTCAGAGAAGTACCGGGGCGTACAACTGACTGTATGAGCTTCTCTTTCACCGCGTCCTTTGGCAAACGCTGTCCCAACCCCTTTCAACCTCTGAGGAGAGCGCGGCGCTCTTAAGGGATGGCCTACTTTCGCCGTCGATACGCCTGCGATTGCATTTCCCGGAGCCACTCCAAGACGATACGCGGCACGTATCGAGTACGGTTATATTTAATATAAAGCGATCAAACGATATCGCGTAGAACGGAGAGGCTGTATTACAATGAAAAGACGGCGCAAAGAGATATTTGTTAAAGATCGCTCCCGACGCTGTAATCAAATCTGTATAAAACGATCTCTTTAAAAAAAGGAGGGAGGGGGGATAAAGAGCGGGCGCCAAATGTCCACGCCCGTCGAAGTAGCCATTGCAAAGTAACGTTGGATATACCTTAAATCGTAAAACCACTTGGCATTAAGAGCGTCACTTTGGCACTCCGACACTGGCAGTACTCGCGAAATTATCTCAATCTTAAAGAAACTATCGTTAATATTAAAAGGGACTCACTTTAACTGGGCAGCTGCACGCCGCGCTGCGGCAACGCTCGATCTGAAAGCAGAAAAAATCCAAAGTCAACAAAGAAACGTTATTGCGTAACATTACTGTCGCAGGAGCTGAACGGAAAGAATAAAAGATAAAACGCGGATCGCATGACTTATTTGCCAAGCGATAAAAGGAACGCGCGCTGGAAATCTACCGATCATGGAAATAAGACGCAACTATCGCAAGCGCGGGTCAACGAACCTCGAAATTGGATTCGACGCGAGCGCGAATTCGTGTCTTTTTTTACTGATGCAGAAACGGAAACGAGACGAGAGGGATCGAGAGACGTCCACGTGCCGCGAAATTCCTTACGGATGGAATTTGACGATCATTGACACTCGCGGGGGACATGTCGCGCTAAAGAAGGACGTTTTTCTGCACGGTCAATCCCTGCCCCCCCCCCTTGCCCCCGCTGCTCTGCCAACGTCCGCAGGCCCTCGTATTCGACATCGGCGTGCAACGACCGTGGTCGTTGGCGCGTGGCGGTGCTAATGAACTTCGGCAGCATGTTACCCAAAAGCACGTGGTAATTTCGCATGCGTGCGCGAAGGTTCGCGCGGTAATTCCGGAAGCCAAATAAACCAGCCACGGGAGTACGAATTGAATAAATCATCGTTACAAAGCAGCAAAAAGCTAAGTCTTGGTATTTAAAAAGCGCAAATTTCTAAATACCATGCAACGTAATTTAATAGGATTTCTGCATCCGGATTTAACGTCTGTAGTGCAATGCGTTAGCCCCATTGCGTTAATTCTGAAAACAAGGCCGTAGCGGCTGAATAGCGCAGTTGAAATTCTTGAGCGAAGGACAGCGATAACAGTATTATTAATTAAATTCCGCGCGTTCGTGACGAAACCGCCAGATGCGTTCCTCAATCGATAGGCGGTAAATTAAGCATGGACAGATGCAACGCCTAGCATCTACGTCATATTAGGGAAAACGCACCGCGAGCTTATCGCACGGTCGAAATTCCAAAAGTCGCACGTGCGCCAGCGAATACTCTACCAAGCGAATCTCAATAATAAATAACGTCGTTACGCGAGTAAATTATCCGGCGGCAGTAATTTGTGGCAATAGACGTCGGAAAGAATACGCGCTTGAAATATTAATATGCAAATGATCGTCATTCCCGTGTGGTATAAATGTCCATTGTCTCATATAAAATTTACTTCTCGGAGCTTTGACAAATTTCGCTACTTTGGTGGATTTCCTCGGTAAAAAGATGGAAATGGCCGGGTGATAAAAGAAGCCCACGGGGCTTCGAGAAGTCTTCGAGATTGTAAATTTATTATTCAAATAGCTATCGCGCCAAGGAGGCGACTCTAATCAGGAAATCTGTCATCATACTTCTTCCGTAATACGGCCGAGCGTTTTCTTTGTAGCAAGGTAGCCGAACGTCTGCGAACGCCGGACGACGGAACATCGCGCAAGACCGCAATTCCAGGCGATCCCTGTGTATACGAACATTTCGGGTTTCTTACGCCATATTTCAGTCGCATCGCTGGCAGATACGTGACTCCCCTCAAAATCCCTCCGTAATCGAACGGGAATCCAAGAAGAGGACTCAAACAGTCGTCGGTACGTACCGGCGGGGAATAACAATGAAGAGAGACAATAGTAATGGAATTATCTTACGGATAGTCGTTCCGTTGGCAGTACAATCGCCATCGAGACCGAATCTCAAGTGCGTTCTCCTGCCCTCTGTCTCTCTTCCTCTTTCGAAACCGGTCCGACCCGGGCTCGTCGTTCATCCGATGGCGCGTGGCTAGGTGCTAATGAACTCTCCGTGAGTCACGTTTTAAAAAAAGACAAAGAGACAGGCGAGAGGACGCGACCGGCGCGGCCCGCGGAAACGCGAGATTCCCGAAACTCGAGGTGCCGAATACGCAAATTAGCGATGCTCTCCGCGGCGCGTTCGTGTCCTTCCAAATTCTTTTCTCTTTTCCTACCTTTTTTTCCCCCCCTCCCTCTTTAACGGAATCCGCGCGCGCAGCAAGAAATTCTTCTTGCGCTCCGTGCGTTAGCGCTTTTCAAGCGAAAATAGAAGAACTCCTCCAAGTTCGCGAAAGTTTGCGAAAATCGTACTTATGAGCCGGGTTGTTGTTTACAGTTTGATCGCGACTTCTTTAGGGAGGAAATATCCGACTCTCTTGCGATGTAGATATTGTAAATTTGAGGAGCAATATTTTTCGCTTAAATGATGAACTTTGTAAACAAACTACGATAACTTTAGTTGGACGCGATGAAAACAAGAAGCTGAAAATTCGACATAATTATCGAGAGGATTAAATTCCAAATAAAATGACGTCACGGGGGAGGCTTGCGTCTTTATACTTAAGTGATCGCATCTAAAATGGCCGGCTTTAACCGGGCGAAGCGGAAGGATGAACCGCGAGACATTAAAATACCAATATATCGAAGATGGGCATGGGGAAAAGAGAGCACGCCGTAAAAGAATGCGAAATAACGGAGGGGACGGCCGTGCGGACGTTGGAATGAAAAATAATCACTCGATCGACTCGAATTAAAGAGAATCCCTCGGTCGAACATCGATCTCACTTTGGTTACCACCCGTGGGCAGCCGATAGTAATTAATCAGCCCGCGCGGTGCACACCGATAATTAGAGGTACCGATCGACGGGCAATTAATACGCCTCTTAACCGCGATCGGCGATCGATCATGGAAATGTTACTCCCGCGGGAGAGCGGCGGGGAGAAAGGGTTGAAAACTCGCGGGTTACAGTGACAGCGGATTAGCGTGCATTAAAGGCGATGGAAGTTCGGGGAAGTAGCTTCTAATGTTAGTCGCGGCAAAGCGTGCGGGCGGGCGAGCAATTTTCTGCGGGATAAAAAATTTAGAGCTTTCAATTTGCCGACAGCTCATAAGCCACGCGCCGTAGCTGAACCTTCGCAGGTGCTCGCAGACTGACGCGAAATCGAGCCTAGAGTTGATCTAAAAATAATGCCCACGTGCAATTAATAGGTATACCTTGCCACGTGCTCCTTTCTCTCTCATTCGGACATAAGTTTAATCACGGGCATTAATGTTTGACGCGTTCGCCCGCGTTCCGGGTATCCAGCTATCGCGATTCGCAGAAGTCCATTCGTGCAATTCATTTTTAACGTCTTGATCGCGAGAACCAGCAGATTCCTTCTCGCCAAGCTTAGTCACCGTTGAGACGACTCGTTCGACAAATTCGAGGAAGAAAGGGGAGGAAGGAAAATTTCATTTCGCTGATCGTAAGAATTTATAGCATGTCGTGACATTACAAATACCAAAGCACGCGCGCGCATCTCTCGCGGCATAATTCCACTTCAAGTGTCAAGTGTTACTTTAAAATCGTATCCTCCATTTTTTCGCGACTATTTGTGTCATCTCCACATTGGGGAGAATAAAAATTCATCGAATATTAAAGTCGCCAGGGACGCCTCGTCCCCGAGTCTCTCGACTAGAAGAGCGCCATCGAAATTGACGGCAAAAAGTCTGTCGATCAAACTGTCGAACCCTTTCGAGAGGGACTATTAGCGGCTATATTTTTCCATCGATCGCCCGCTGAACTCGTCGCAAGAGCTTCTTACCGGAAATAGAAAGTCAAAAAGATTCTACGCGACCGTGGCTGTCCGACATTGTTTTCTGAAAAAATAACGGAAGCGCAGACGTTTCTGGCCGCGTGTACGACGAAAGGAAATACCGAACATCTTTATCTCTTCCCTCCCGCTTCTTTCTCTTGCAGTTCTTTCCGCCTCTTTTTCTGGGCATGCACCTTCCTCTCTCGTGCATAACGCATCCGCTGGATTCTTCGCTCGCCTTCGCGAGTTCAAAAACCTTTCTGCGCGTGCGGCTTCCACGGAAATGGCTCCGTGGAAGCCGCGCGCCACCAATCGCAAGAAACGTCAAATTTCTAACTTGCGCGAAAAATCTGGCAGGTCAACTCTTTTAACTCGCGGCAAACACGTGGATGTATTTTGACGCGATTACATGCACAAGTGCCTGTAATTTTTTCGAATTCTTACAACAAAATTCTCGTACGTTAGAAATGGCAATAATTCACAGTTCCGTGCAAATTATTTATTGCTTCTGTCACGCGTCGTATGATTTATGTTACGTCGCACAGGATGGACGCTTACGGCAAGTGCGCTTTATGCATCAAACGCGGATAAATCGGATGCATTTTGTAAGTCAAAGAATTCTTTTTGGGGCTTCCTGAAGTAGACCGCACACCTGATTCCACGGTAATTCGTTATCCTGACAGTTTAAGGGGGGGAGAGCTATTTCGATTTCGATATCGCATCCGCATACGATATTTCTACTCAAAAGTCAATCGCGGCACATAGTTGGGAAGTGCCTTCGATTGAACGTGTCTCACGTACGTCAATCAACATGTTCGAAATGGAACGGTAAACGCAGCTCGCGACGCTATAGTTACGCTCGTTTAACGTTCTAAATTGTTTATCGCATTCGCCTCACCGCGGATGAAACGCACGCGATCAATACAAATTGATTTATTATAAACGTTTCGTCATTCGGCGAACGCCACGGCTGACCGTAATTGTGTGGCTTAATACGGCGGTAAAAATATAAGGAGTCGCTTTCAGGACGAAATTAATGTCGACGTTACCTGCGACGTACGATTTCCGTACTTCTGGTGAAAGCGTATCGTCTTCCTGAGGAGCGCGGTTGAACGCTTCGCAAAAATTCACGTTTCATATTCGTCTCTCGGCATTTCCCATCGTAACAGTTAAATTACTCGAGTCGCGGCGGCGCAACTTTTCAATAAAGACGTCTTTCGCTCCGCGTGTCTCGCGCAATGAATGCTGATCGAGACAAGCATCGTCTGTAAGTAGGAAATAAAGAACGGCGGCGGGGCGGGAGGGAGACGGAGCGGAGCAGAACGGAAAAGAAAGCTGGGAGATGTATAACGTCAGAAATGCCGGCTTACTCGAAACTCGGTACACGAACGCATCGCCAGACTTCACGGAGTATCGAGAACTCGGCGGAGAAAGGTGG